AGTATTGTCCTTATAGTATTTACAGCCTAAGGCTCAAACATTTACCACTTAACTGTGGTATTTTCTTTGCCTTGTTGTCTCTACGTAGAGCCTATTTCTGGCACACTGCTGATTCTCGAGACCTGGCAACTTGGTTGTAATTCCCAAAATATTAGACAGCCTTGATTCCTTTTAATGGCTAATACTTTATGACAGATGTATTTAAGTAATTCAAGTTATTTGGTAGAAAAGAACAAATTTTCATTTTACATGTTCTCCTTCAATGCAAGCCTTCAATGCCCTGAAATCTACTGAGGTATAACAGTTTATAAATGCCCTGAAATCAAGGTACAACAGTTTATAAAAGCCCGGATCCAACCCAGCTACAGTTAATTGCTTATCCAGTGTCAGAGCCTTGTCGCTGTAGCAACTACTACCTGTATGGAAATGGCTTTCAGCTTGCGATCCAAAGAATCATGTATGTGTGGTAAGCTACGGAAAGGTATGACAACTAAGAAAAATAAGTTTATTGTCTGTAGGTTTAAGTAATATGAACCTCAGTCCTTATCTCTACTGGAAGAGTCATGATGAGTCCAAACACTGGCAGGGGAGAATCAAGATAATGCTTCACAATCAAGAGGGGAGGGTAGCTAAAAAAGGCAGCTCAGCCCACCATCTGAATCACTGGAGGCATCTATCACTTTCCATCATCAATTAAGGGAACTTTGGCCGAGTAGGCTTCTAATGCAGATAGCCTAACTTAGCTTCTAATGTTAGGTGGGCTGAATAAAGCTCTATACTTCTATGGGGACTTTTTGGTACTCAGAATAAACCACAGTTTCTTAAAATAATGTCCACAATTAAAAAAAAGGTGATTCCCTTAAATTTGTGTTATATTCGACAAGAATAAATGAGAGGTGTGACGTATGTGAATTATCCAAATTTCTTGATTCTTATGCTTGCCTCATAGGGAAGAGGAACGAAAAGCTCATTTCAACTTTACTTTCAAAAATCAATTTGCTCTGGGAAAAAAATATATGTTCATAAGCCATTAGTGTACAGGTCTCATTCATTCTGTACAGCAGTGGTCAGTAGCCAGGACTGTGACACAACCCAAGAGTAAGGAATGATAGGTAACACAAATTTATTATGGAAGGTGTTAATTCCAGCATTGAGAACAATTTTTATTATATTTATGTGTCATTTTATGACACATTCACTACCTGAAACACTTAACAATGTGACTGTAATAAGATTAGTTTTTAAACAGCTTTAATTTGTTTGATGTAAACAACACTTTGAGGCTTATTATAATGCAACAAATGGAGAACAACGCCTTCTCTTAATCACTCTTAATAAAAGGATATTTGTAGCAGATTGTTTAAAACTGTATTTCTTTTGAATAATTACCCAGATAAACATGCAGAGCAGCAAACAAATAAAATCTGACAATCCTAAAATAAGATCCAGTTACAGAAAATAGCAAACCAAAATAAGATTATTGACACTTAAACTCTAAGATTTTAGAAATTACCATTTCCAGCAAGGTTGAGTCTCACAGGGACACGTTTCACAAAGTCATTTTTATGCTATGAGGGTTGGTAAAACTGTTATGAGTTGTCTTCTATAAACCCAGTGCATGAATCAAGTGACTCATGCCTTTTGCATGCATTCACTTCCAGCATCCCCACCTGGCAATTTTATGTGAGTGAACATAAAATTTATTTGAGGTGTTTGGACTTGGGATCTCAAAATCATTAGTCCCCTTTTGAAAATCTTGGCCCTGGATTTTTCATTAATGAATCAGCCTTTGGATATAAATGCATAAATACGTTCCGCTCAAAGAAAAGCTGGATCTGTCAGTTACAGATGTATGGCTAGTCACAGCAACATGTTTGGAAGTAATTGCATTCTTCATTGCAATGTGTATGACATCTGTCTCTACGTTCATTTTCTTTGATGTGCTTCTTTTCATATTTCTTGCTAACAGAATATTTTTGTAGTTTTGGGGGTTTCTTCTCCTTCTTGGAAAAGTTTATAGTCCTTTTCAAGGTGACAGCTGAAGCCATTTTTTCTTTCTCAGATGCAACAGGAAAGCTGTCCTCACTCTGCTTTGGTATAGGCTGCTACCTTTTATATAGAAAGAAAGAAGAAAAGCTAATTTAAGATTTTTGTGAAATGAAGATAGACATGTCAATAACTGAGTCTTTTTATTCACTTTTGCAATAATGTATTTTATATCTGGTGATTTGCTAATTCTTGAATTTCTGTCCATCCCTTTGAATGTGCAGATACAAACTTTCTTCAGATAATCCTTCACTATGACTAAGAACAACCTTCACAGAAGGTAAATTAATCCAGCCGCTATTTCTGGTTTTGGTAGGTCTGTCTAAATCTGGATTTGACTTTACTACATCATACTATACAAGATAGTAGAGATGGAGTCTGAGTATGATTCAGCCCTCGTCAAGACTGCGAGTGAGCTAATATAGTGTAAGCAGTACATCTGAATTGCAGATGTGGCAGTACCTAGAGCCCCAAATAAAAAAGAGGTTTATCTATTCAGAGCACCATTTTTGGACCTGTCAAAAAGACATAATTTTCTAAATGACTTTTTGCAAAACATAAATAAACACCAGGACTCCTGGGAACCTTGGTTTTCAGGCAGTTACCAACTTATGTTAGAAAAGAAGTGCAACAGAGCATTGTGTTTTAGGATAAATAAATGTGTGCTGCTGCTAGGAGGCAACTTAAAAGTGGTCTAATTACAACCCTAACACTTTTCTTTTCTGATTTCATCCTCTTCTGATAGCTAAAACAATCGCCAAGATTTGGTTCAGGATAGAAAAAAAAAATACCTTGAGTAGCCATAAAACTGGAGACTCTCCTCTTTTTATCTATGTGAAGAATTATTCACAGATCTAGCTAACCTAGAGACAGGTCTTTTTTAATTAAAGCTTAGGCATCTCAAAGAATCTTATTTGAGACAGGAGAAGGCTGAAGGACTGCAAAGACCTCTTGAAATTCAGGCACCAAAAGGTAAGCTTAAGGCATCTCAAAGAATCTTATTTGGTACAGGAGAAAGCTGAAGGATTGCAAAGACCTCTTGAAATTCAGGCACCAAAAGGTGCATGAATGAGCATGAGAAAATAAATATTTTATTATTTTCTTCCAGTGTTTGTCTTTTTTTTTTCCTTTTTTTTTTTTTTTTTACCTGCTGGACAAGCCTGTGTGACATGTAATAACTAAATTTAGCACAGTTTTACCACGAGAGGGCAGGAATGCTTATGAAACAGGTTTGCCACTGGCTGTTTCACCACTTCGTTAGGAGGCTATCCAGCATGCTTTCCCTTCTGTTGGTGTTATGTGTCTAAGCATGTACCCCGAGCACTTAATAACATGACAAAATGCTTTGACCCAACAGGCTGACCTGTCATTAGTACAGCAGATTAAACCCCCTGGATGGTCGTGGGGCTCAGGGGCATGGCTGAACTGCACCTGTATAAGGCTAACAGCAAAATCAGAACTCCTCACTCTGGACTGACAAAGGGAAACAGCCGTGCCAATGCAGCAGGCTTGCCAAGAGAGGCCGGCAGGTACATAGATGTGAATCGGTGCCTGTTTTATTCCTTATGGTGCGTACCAGAAGCAAGAAGGAAGACCTTTAGAGAGATTTTTTTCATTCCATATTAGGAGTACTGGCTTATTTATGAATGATATTTAAGCTTTTCTGTGAGACTAATTTTGATCAGACCATAACCTTAGCCAGATATGAACAGTAGAAGACTGTACTGGACCAAATACTGCATAGAAAAGTTCCAGACTATTATTAAAGTGAAACAGATTTGTATAGAAGGTCTTAGTTAACTCATAAACAATTTATAAACTGAAGCATTTAGCAGAGCCTGATTAAAGGTTTTAATTCTTGCAACTGTTTGCCAACAAAATATAGTGTTTCACTGTTCCCAAAACCATGTTTTGGAATAAAAAATCTACCTTGGAGCCACTCAGAGTTGTAAGATTTTAATCAGCTAAAATTAAGCTCAGTAACATAAAAGGAAATATACTGTATTTTTGCTGTCACATTAAGTAGTTTATTTTTTTCATAGCAAAGTTTTTTACCATGAAGCAAATAGATGGGGGGTTGTAATAGTGACCAGATAGACTACATTCAATGACAACAAACAGAAAAAAATGAAAAAGTAACCTTACTCTAGTCACAACAATAACCTTACTCTAGTCATAAAAGATTTATACAAGTTATTTTCCATTAGCTGTGCCAATTAAATCGTGCTTTTACTATGCCCTCCTCCAGAATTCCAGTTGTCTAAATCTAAAGATTCTTCACTACTTCTATCATTGGGATATAAAGGTGTTTCCCCAGTCATAAAACAGAAAAGGTCATTGCCTTCCTATTGTGTGGCTTGGCTGTCTCCTACGAGAAGTTGTTGACTTATACTTAGAGGGTTACATACCCTCAGGACATCTATGTTCTCAGTGTCATTTTATGAATCTCTGTTCCCCAGAGGTTTTCAGACACCATGCTGCAATGGTATACTACCAGGATGACTAGGTAGAAAAGTAGGACACCCTACAGGATTTCCCCATTCAGTGATTCAGGATTTATTTCTTTGGGTTTTAAATAGCCCTACAGTGTATGGCTCTTCTCAAAGCCCCAGCAACATGCAAGGGAAATTCAGCCCAGACTAAGCAACAGCCAGCCACTCGGATTCTTGCTGAAAAAGTAAAGGACATAGCTGGACAGCATGCACTAATATAGAAATAGGCAAATGGCATAAGGGTAAAAGCCTCTGTTTTGTGTGTATTAATCAGCATGGACAGAAAAATCATAGGACTTCTGCATAAGCCATGCAATCCCTGTGCAAGGAGATCACCCTATAACCTTTTGAAGTCAGATTTTGAATCTATGAAGAAGGACAGGTTGTATTTTAACGAGAATATAGCCCATGAACTTCCAAAGGAATGATTCTTGCCCAGGGCCTCATAGAGTTACACATGTGGAAAACCCGCGTCATGTTTTGATCAAAGACCAGAAGGAATGACTTATTGTCTTTCCTTTCTATTGTATTTTCTGTAGCATAAGGATATAACAGGTGCGGTGCCTAAGTCTGGGTGAATTTAGTGGTTTGGTTTTTTTTTAGCTTCTACTAGGGTTATATAGCAAAGAAATGGCAAAAGAAAACTTGGATTATTGTTCTTTGCTTTCCCTTTTTTTCATTTCAAGATGTACACTGCAAAAGAAAGTGAAAATAGAGATCATTTTTGTTCTGTCATTTCTTTTCTGTTAACTTTTGAACAAAGACAACATTTTGGACACGTTTATGGCCTTGTCTTTGAGCCCTTATTCATGTAATTAATCTACTCACCTTTACGTCAATTCTGGTTGTAGAAATCACTTTGTTGATTTGTTGCTCAGTGTCTTTCCCATTAAATGCTGTTCTAGAGAGATCAAATAGGATTTAACAGGATGCAAACTCTCCAGCAGAAAATCACCAGGCAAAAGCCTGTATAGGGTGCAGAGCTACAAAAACCTCTCGTCAGGCAGGCCACATATGGTTAATGTTATTAAAATTCTTACTTGCTATCAGACCAATGGAAGCACCGGGTGTTTCAGAAATTTTTTTGTGACAACAGCACCTATTCCAAATTGCTGCCCACAAGAACCTTACCCCTACCCTTCTGCTAATCTCACAGTCTGCAAAAACATCATGTGAGATTAAGAAATTTAATATTTTCTATGCAGAGTTCTGTTCCTTGAAGATAAATTAAACTTCTTCCTAAAATATAGTTACTTTGCTGCAACACAAAGACACTTGAAGAAATGCCTAAGTGGACTGTCTCCGGTGCTAGAAGTAGTTTAGATGTTGCAGGATTTTATCTCACCTGAATAGTGCTGGCCTAATACAGGTTATGGGGATTTTTATAAAGTGGTAGATTTTGGAAAGCTTTTAAATTCACAGGTGCAGAATTGTACATTAACCATCTCCCGGTCTCCTATCAAAGCAAAACCTGAGCAAGCACCTGTGTCAGAAAGCTGGAGCTGATGGCCAATTTAAAATAGCCTGAGTTAAAACTTCCTTGAGGAAGATGCTATTTAATCCTGTCCTCTGCCATACAGGTGTTTATGGAGGCAGAGAGCGGGGAAGGAGCCCCAGTCCAGAACAGCCAGCACAATGGTAATCCTCTCTCAGCAGAGCACCAGGCTTAGGTTATTTACAGTATTTAATAACCTACAGCCTGAAAAGCCTGTCAAGGTCTGTTGTTTTGTTTTGGGTGTTTTGTTTTTTTTCACTTGAGTGTGTGTGATGGTTTTTAGAACTACATTGTTCTAAAATTTGGAATTTATTATTATATACACAAATGTAATTTCCTAAAATACTAGGTTCTCACATCCAACCTCAGTTAGAAGCTTTCGGATCAAAATGTATATAACATAACAGTCATTTCTGATATTATCTGGTTTTCCAATAAATCAACTGCTTTTCTGAACCAGTGTTGAGCTGCTGGTTTTAGAGAACTATGATCCACCATGATTTTCAGATATTGCACCTTAATAATTCAACTTTGTGCTTCTTTATTGTGTAATTAGAAGTAATTTTCCTTTATGCATTACAGTGTACTTGTCTATTATTTTATCAAAATTGTGAGATCTTTCAATGACTTTGCATTCTAGGTTTTAATAGCATTTAATAATGCACCTTGCAATAAGTATTTGTGAAAATACAGGTGCAAAGTGGATGTTCTCTGTTTATTTGCCTAGTATCTTTCAAGCAAGAGATTTGTGAGGTCTAGTTTTCTTTGACAAGAATGTTGTTAATTTTTCCCTGTTGCATCCTATACATTTTTGTGTCTGTAACTTCAGTTTTATTATTTTTTTATTAGTTAGTTTGAATGGAATTTATTAATTGCAGTTCTCAGCATCTCTTCGTAAGAGTCAGACTTTCATCTTCTGCTCCTTGCACACTAATGTGAAGGCATGTTATATACTCATGGAAATCTCTATAAGAACAAGAGATAGTACAAGATAGTGGGAGTGCACAGCCAGAAGTGAGGTAAAGAAGAGAAATGTGATAGGAGTAGACTTGCATTTAATCAGTGGAATACTTCCATGAAAAAAGGTGACATCACCAGGGAACAAAACCTAAAAGTCATGAAATCAGCAGATAGTTTTATAAAAATAAGGTTAATTAATCAAATATCACTATTAAATTTTTGTTTTCGTGACAACATCCTTTAGACATTCATACCTTCAAGACTCAATCTGTCTCCTTCTCTGTCTCCACTTTTCTGCTTTGGAACAAACTCCAAAAATCTGTCTAAAAGATACTTAAAGAATTGGTAAAATTTGTAAATAACATTTTGAGAATGCAGATAGTTTGGTGTAGAAACTCCCCTTCTATTGTATTAAAGAGAATGTGGGTACAACCTTCAATGAAAAAAATTAGAGAAACCCATGAGATAATATTCCAAAACCATTTATTGAGATATGAGTTGTAACCTCCTGGTATCTGTTTTGAATCCCAGACCAACCAGCTTCTGAGGATGGAAACTGCACGAGTTGCTCTTTCTTCCCAGCTGTTTGACTTTTTTTTTCTTAGGGGGTTAGAGGTTTGCGTTCCAGTTGAGACCACACACAGGATTGTGAACAGGTCAGCATGAAGGAGAGTGCGTATTTCCAGAATGGATGTGCCAGACGTTCCATAAAGACATGCTAAAAAAATTTAACTCAGTTTTGCAGATTAGCAATAAAAATATTTCTATTGTTTTTATAAAAACTCAATCTCCTCAGTGTTTTATTGGAACCTATGCTTTTGTTATATCTGAGCTTTTCACAACTTTTAACATCTTCTCAAATTTAAAAGTAGGTCATATATTTCAGCATATGTAATATAAATGTCTGCCAAATGTTTGTACAATGAGTCATAGCAACATTAAAGAGACTACATCCAAAAATGCAATCTTGAAACCATTCTATTCAAATTATATCTGTTCCTGAAAGTATAACCTCCACATACACCCCAGTTTTTCTACTGACAACCTCACATCCTTAGAGCTATGGATAGCTCACATCCTTGGAGCTATGGATAAGTTTAGCCTTATTTTCTCTGCTTATATGGCAAGTCCGGAGGTTAGACTGTTTAAAGAAGAAACTAGTTATGAGAGAAGTTTAAAGTAGATTTTTTCATTTGAACTTGCATCTTGAAAAAGATGAATACCCAAGCTTTTCTCGGCTTCTGTGATAACGTTCAGTCTCAGACCTAATGAAATACTCAAGTGCTATTATCTCACTTAACAGATACTTGGGAAAGTAGATGCTTGCAAATCCCTTTCCAAACAGGCAGCCACAGAAACAGAACTATCACAAGACCTGGATTGAGGAAGGCGATGATATTTTTAAGTGAGACTTAGAATTTAAGAACCTGAAACTGAACTCTTTAAAGCTCCTGCTTAATCTTTGGAGGTGCCCAGACTCTATCAGCACCTCATTTTTCAATACTGCGTTTCCTCAGATGCCTGAATTTTAGGTCTGCAAAGGCTTAAAAGTAAATCACTGTTGACATGACTGACAATGGCTTGGCTTCTGTCTCAGATTTAAGTCTCATCAACAGCAGCAAACTTGGTTCCCCAGTTTATTTCCACTGTGCAACTCAACTTGAAAGGCATTCTCTCAGCAAACTTGCCAGCATGAAAGGGGAGATGTAGGAGAGAGGTTAGGCTTGTAGCTTAATGGATCAAGAAGCTTTTAGTGAGAGCCTAAACCTTCTTTGGACTTGGGCCTACACAGTTCACCATCAGCATTGCATGATCTGTGATAATGCAAGAAGTTGAGCCCCACTTTCTTCCCCAAGGGCAAATTCTTTAATCACAGAACTATGATTGCAGTTGCCTGTTGGCTTCTCTTTCTGTCTAGTGAAAGCCTGTAGAGAGCTCAGAAGAAATATCATATCCATTACTAGGTACTGAACTGGAAGAACCGAAAGTAAGAATCTGCAAAGAATAACAGAATTAAGAGAGCTCAAAAATCAGTTAAAGAGGCTTAGCAAAGAAAATTCAGATCAGATGTTAAAAAAAACTTAATGACAGGAAAGATAGGGAAGAACTAAGAGACTGTGAAAACCTTTGTAAGATACTTCTGTGATTTTGGGAATGACAGGGATATCGTAGATCCTGACCTGGGTACCTAAGTGTAGCTCTTGCAGTCCTTTCTCTCCTGAGGACTGAAAAAAGGTGGTTTCTTCCTGCTATGTGATACTCCAAACATTTTGGAAACTTATAGAAAAATACGAAGTTTAGTATCTATGTATTACATTTTTCCTTAATTTTCCCTCACAGTGCAATCAAAATTCAGGCTACAAAAGTCAGTGCCACCACATTAATTAAATTCATGTCCTGAATAAGTCCGCAAAGGAAGCTCTATTTATCTGAAGACATTTGAAAACAGACAAACATCCTAAAGAGCTTTACTGAAGCCAGAAAGGCTGCATCTAAATAAATGTGACACCACGTGGATCCAGAATACTGTGACACTTTAACAGAGACTTAAGCAATGCTCACATTACCATACTAAAAAAGACAGACTATAAAATCCTAACAATCAGACCCACAGCTCCATATGCAGTCCTGTACAGTAACAGGAGCTATCTGGGGGGCAGGGGTAGGGAAACCATATGATAAGGTACCTTTGTCTCACAAGCTATTCAAGCCTTTATTGTGGGAAGGTGGTTTTGCTGAGTGTTAATGAAGAGCAAAAAGGCTCAGAGGCAGTGCTGTACCTGTGCACAAGAAAGGCCTCCTAAGGAGACGCCCTGGAGAATCAATAGCGACCACAGCAGACTGCAAGGCTTCTTTAATGTCTTTCCACCACAGAGCCAAAAGATAAAGCCCTGAGGTAAATTCAGCAGCAGGATAAAAACAAAAATTGAAAATAAAAAATTGAAGTTTACTCAGGGAAGCTGCTTCCGATCATCCTGTGGCAGACTCACCTCAGCCCCTACTGGTTTTGGGTGATCTAATCTGGTTTTGTTTTGCACCATATACATCTAGCAAAGGGCAGCCTCATTTTAAACTGTCACAGCTGAGGTGGCTGGAGAGGCCAGATGAACTTAGCCTGTGGTTGCAACTGCCTAGGAAGGGTTTGGTAAGAGGACAGAAACCTCCTCCTCTGCTGGTGTTTCCATAGGCATCATAGGGAAGGAGGCTCTCCCTGGCCATGCTGGGCTGGAGGACTGGTACTTGATGCAGGGTCCAAGCCCAGTGCTTTCCCACAGGTGCTCCTCTTCAAACACTGGGTGAAAACAAGGTGGAAAAACAAGGAGGAGAGAAACTCCGGGTATCACTCAGCAGAAGTGCCCTTGTATGCCTACTGCAATTATCACACATGTTCACACAGGCACATTTTCACATGTATATAGGTTCACAGAAAAAAAATACTTAAAAAAATAATCAAAATTAGTTTTATAACGATCTTTTCTTGCTAATCTAGAAACTGTAGAAAAATCACAGCCTGCATACCCACAGCTATACAGCACTTCAATAGCTTAGATAGACCCCGTCTGTATGTAAAATGTGTGCAGTACTGGTAAATTATATGATGTTTTGTTTCCCACTGTTATGAAGCTTTACTGTTGGAGCTGTTATAGTGATAAAAAGATTCTTCACCTATTACAGCAACTTTTCTCCAGTGCCTCTGCTCTGTTCTCCCCTACTGAACTTCAGCTTCTCTCCCTCTCTGTGAATTTACCTTATTGCAGTTAATATTTCCCAGTGATATGAAACTCAAACAACATATTTTTCTCACAACCCCAAGATAAGTGCATTTTTATGACATTGCAGTACAAATGAAAACCAATTACATTGAAATATAACTGTGCCTAAGTTATGTGCTGTAGGCTTCTGTTGCCCAAGCTAAGATGCCGGCCAAGCAGAGGTGTGCCCATTCCTGATTGAAAGCTTTCGTGAGCAAAGCCCTAGCACAGACATAGCTGCTTGAGCAAAACTGCATTTCTACAGGGATAGCTGATTCACTGGGAGAATGGTGTGAATTTATAAATTCAAGTTTTGCCTGTGCCATTACAGACCAAAGGTGCTTCATAAGTAAACAAGCTATGAA